TCTTTTTCATCCACGGTGTTGGCGGCTCCCTGGCCATCTGGAAGGAGCAGCTGGACTTCTTTGTGCGCCTGGGCTATGAGGTGGTGGCACCCGATCTGGCCGGTCACGGGGCCAGCTCGGCACCCCAGGTGGCCGCAGCCTACACCTTCTATGCACTGGCAGAGGACATGCGTGCCATCTTCAAGCGTTATGCCAAGAAGCGAAACGTGCTCATTGGGCATTCCTACGGGTGAGCCAATGCTGGGGTGGGGATAGGGGAGAGAGATGGGGGTAACAGGGACTGGACATCCAATCGCCAAATGCTGACTTCTCTCCTTGAAAACTCTCATTAACGTCTGTAACAAGATAGGGATTCCCGCCATCACTGCTATCATTATGTATTCTTTTATTTATTTTTTAAAGATTTTATTTATTTTTTGACAGAGACAGACACACAGAGAGGGAACATAAGCAGGGGGAGTGGGAGAGGGAGAAGCAGGCTTCCTGCTGAGCAGGGAGCCCAATGCGCAGCTCGATCCCAGGACCCTGGGATCGTGACCCGAGCCAAAGGCAGACACTTAATGACTGAGCCACCCTGGCGCCCCTCATATTCTTTCAAAGCAGTGTTTCTCAGTCCCAGCACTGCTGACGTTTTGGATTAGGTCATTCCTCTCTTTGAGGGGCTTTCATGTGCACTGTAGGATGTTTAGCAGCATCCCTAGCCTCTACCCACTGGTTGCCCCTGGCACAGTGGCCTAGTGATGGTCATGACAATCAAAAGATGTCTTAAAAAAAAAAAAGTGTCTTCAAATATCGCCACAGGTTCCCTGGCAGTCTGAATCATCCCTGACTGAGAACCAGTGTCTTTAAGTTCAAAAATCAGTTGCTCTGGAGATCCCAAGGCCTCCAAGGAAGAGCTGATTAGAATCCTATAAAGTCTTTTTACAAGGGCCCAGGTTGCTGTAATTCACTCCCACTTAGAGGGGTGATACATAATACCATCTAGCATTTAGGTGAGTTCCCACTGCATTGAAGACTGGGCCTGGGTGCCTGATCACTGCCAAGTGGTACCACTCTCTTTTACCCAGGAGGAAAGGCAGGATCTGACCAGCCTAGTTTGAGAACCACTGTTTTAGCGATGTGGCCCATGCAATTAGACAAGAGAAAGAAACGTCACATATGTTTCGGAAAGAAAGGAAGCCAGACTGGGAAGTAACATGGCTCCTATTTGTTTATATAACACCCCCAAAAGGTGATGCTTATGCTAAATGTTTCCTTCAATTAAATGAGCACCCATCTGTGGTAGTTCCTGTGACCTCATAGCAATGCTATAAGGACAGCCCAGTTACTATTCCACAGATGTGGAGATGGAAGTTCAGAGAGGTTAGGCCATCTGCCCAAAGGCACACACGGAGTCACTGGTACAGTTAAGTCCAACTGACTCTTGCTTGTATCCTGTTCCTCTTTACAGCTAGGGTTGGCAAATTTTTTCTTAATGGGCCAGATAGTAAATATTTTACGTTTCTAGGACATATGGTCATCTCTGCTGGAACTTTATAACTCTACTGTCATAGCAAAAAAGCCCCCATAATTGTAAACAAATGGGCGTGGCTGTATTCCAATAAAACTTTCTTTACTAAATAACTTACACATTTACAAAATGGTAAACTCGGTTTACAAAAACAAATGGCTAGCCCACAGGCCATCGTTTGCCAAACAAACCTGGCTTTAGAGAGAATGAGGAGCTGGACTGTGGGGGCTCTTCAGGCTGCACCTTGCCACCCTGCATAAGGCAGGCTGATGTGCTATGCCCAGAGGCTGGAGAAAGAGGATCCTTACAGGGAAAGGATGCACAGGAAACAGGGACCTGTTTCTCTGGGAAACCAAAGAGTAGCAGTCTAACTGGATTGCTTTCTTAACACTTGGCAATAAGTAATTCTTACCCACTTGGGGGTCATGGCGGCTTTGAGGATCTGATGAAAGCTCTGGATTTGGATCTTCTCTCCAAAAAGAAGGGGGAAAAATCACTGTTAACACACACATAGTCCTCTAGTTTGGGGGCCCTCAAGATGCCCCCCCATCCCTCACTCCCATCCAGTGCCCGTGGGCCCCAGGGGAAGAATGTTGGCCTTCAAGGACCTGTCTGTGGGTGAGGGGAGGGCATTAACTCCCTCACTGCCTGGATCCTGCTGACCACCCCCCTTCAACCCTCCCTGCCACCCACCTACCCACTGGCAGTGTCTCCTTCTGCACGTTCCTGGCACATGAGTACCCAGACCTGGTGCACAAGGTGATCATGATCAACGGCGGGGGCCCCACAGCACTGGAACCCAGCTTCTGTTCCATCTTCAACATGCCCACGTGCGTCCTGCACTGCTTGTCACCCTGCCTGGCTTGGAGCTTTCTCAAGTGAGTCACCCCGGCCCTGGCGGACCCTGGGCATCTCCCTGAGTTGGGTGGGAGGGGTGGCCGTGTTGCTGCTGGGACGGGCATTGGAGGCACCCCTGGTAGCCGGGCTGGCACGAGGCCTCCAGGAGTGCGTCCCCACCACCAGAGCTGGCTTCGCCCGCCAAGGAGCCAAAGAGAAGCAGCTACTGAAGGAGGGCAATGCATTCAACGTGTCATCCTTTGTCCTGCGAGCCATGATGAGTGGCCAGTACTGGCCTGAAGGTGACGAGGTCTACCATGCTGAGCTCACTGTGCCCGTCCTGCTCGTTCATGGCATGCACGACAAGTTTGTGCCGGTGGAGGAAGACCAGCGCATGGCCGAGGTAGGGCCTTGGCACCTGAGCCCCGCCCCCCCATTCCCTGCTCCCGCGCTCCAGGGGGATTCTGCCTTGTGCTCCCAGGGAAGGGAGAGCTTAGATTGAGAGTGCAGTCCAGAACGTGGGGCTGCCCTGGACAGGTGTCAGGATTGGGTGCTATCCCCACTGCACATAAAAGGTGCTCTGCAGAGCTGGGATTTGTATAAGTGACCAGGGATGCAATACGTAATTCTGGGAGAGGGTGGGCCAGAGGATCTTTAGATCAGACACTACCGAGAAAGGGTCTTGGGATCCTCAGCACTCGGAATAGCTCAGGACCAGTAGTTCTTAACCAGCAAGGATTCTGAGCCCCGGGGGGACATTGGAAATGTCTGCAGACTTTTTTGGTTGTCATGTATGGGGAGGAGGGGCTTCTGATATCTGGTGGGTGGAGGCAGGGATGCTGCTCAGCATCCTGTAATGAACAGAATGATTCTATGGCAAAGAATATTCCCACCCCAGGTGTCAGTAATGCCAAGGTTGGGAAGCCTGGCATGAGAGACCTTGTCTTTCTATCTCCGTGATTCTCACCCAGCTGTGAATTTGATCCCTAGGGATATTTGGCAATGTCTGGAGACATAATAAGTTGTCACACTGTGGAGTGGGGGGAGTGGGTCACTGCTACTGGCATCTGGTGGGTCAAGGCCAGGGATGCTGCTCAACATCCTGCGGTACACGGGACACCCCCACCACAGAGAATGATCCTGCCCTATATGTCAGTAGTGCTGGGGTTGAGAAATCCTGCTCTGGACGTATTGTAGCCACGTCATAAATGTTGAATGAATATTGAGTTGAGCTCCATTGGGGTAACAGGCTATCCTCCAGCGCCCCCTTGGGTGGAAGTAGAGGGATGAAGGGTAGACCACAGGAGGGACTTCCTAAGGCTGCAGGCCTGGTGTGAATGGGCTTGGGTGTCCCAGGGAAGCCTGCCTTTGCCACGCTGAGCCTGTTCCCCCACCTCCTCCGCAGATCCTGCTGCTGGCTTTCCTGAAGCTCATTGATGAAGGCAGCCACATGGTGATGCTGGAGTGTCCGGAGACGGTCAACACGCTGCTCCACGAATTCCTGCTCTGGGAGCCCGAGCCCTCGCCCAAGGCCCTGCCCGAGCCCCTGCCCGCGCCCCCAGAAGAGAAGAAGTAGCCGCTGGGCCGGCCGGGCATCGCTTGGTAAGCCGAGGAACAGCAGGAGGAAGCCAGGAGCCGCCCCTCGTCCGCAGCGCGGACCACCTGGGCGGGCCGTTCGCTCTGGTGGGCGGAGTCAGGTCAGGGAGACGCCCCCAGGCCGCCTGGGTAGGGCCTGGCATTCTCGGGAGCCAAGTGGATACACCGCTCTCCGCTTCCATCCTGCCGGACCCATCGGTGTTTTGGGGCCGGAGCCGGAACCCCCGTGGAGGATGACCTTGTACAGAAGCCCCTGCCCCTCAACGCCACGGCCGAGGCAGGCCCCCCACCCCGCTCTCTGTCTTCCGTGTCAGCCGTGCTTGATCCTGGGACCCTCCGGGGGCCCTGCCTCATTGCCCGAGATCCTCCCCACCCCCATTTCTTGGCGCTGGGAGCTATTGTTGCCCAAGTGGGGGGGGGGAAGGGGAGGGGGAGGGGGGCTGGCGCCACCGAACCTGCACATCTCAACTTGTAACTCAATAAAAAGAAGTGACAATCTGAGTCTCCGGACCTGTGCTGGGTGACGGCAGGGCAGGGTCGTCCTGAGCCTCAGTTTCCCAGTGTGCAGACTGGGCGGATGCGGGCGCCAACCCCTCAGGGCTGACTTGCGGAGAAGTGAGGGCGTTGGTCTTCCAGGCTTGCTTCCCGAGTTCTCCCTCCCTCCCTCAGAATGCAGGGGCTGCTTGGGCAGTATTCCCAGAGCAGAGGCAGATGGTGAGCTCCGGGTCCCTGGAAGGCAGGAAGCCGTCCAACTGAGGTTCATACAGGGGTTAAGGGGAGGATCAGTAGATGTTGCATGGGCCGGAGCTGCCATAATTGAGTGCCGCCTGTATACAAAGCCCTGTGCCAAGTGCCTGATGCCGTCGGTTCATTGAATCCCTTTTATCCCATGCCACTCAGTGAGTCGGTACCTCTTCCTATCCCATTGTATCTTTCAACCTGGTTTAAGGTCACTTTTGCCATGAAGATAGTTTTTGTTTGTTTGTTTTGAAGCAGACGAATCTGCCTTTCTTGTCTGGCAGAAGGATCTCCTGACCTACAGCCATGCTCTTACTCCTCTATATTTTCTAATGTATGTATCTTAAGGTACACCTCTGGCTTGTGTGAACGGTGAGGGGAGAGCACTGTCCCTTTAGTTACTGCATCTTTGGTCCTTTCCCCACTGGTTTGTCAGCCCACGTTTAGTTTAGACCAGAGTTCTCATGGGGGCACTGTTTTCCACTAGTAAATTTTTTAAAAAAGTATTTATTTATTTGAGCACACACCCGCATGAGTGGGGAGGCAGAGGGAGAGGGAGAAGCAGGCTCCCCGGTGAGCAAGGAGCCTGACGCAGGACTTGATCCCAGGACCCTGAGATCATGACCCTAGCCAAAGGTAGACCCTTTGCCGATTGAGCCACCCAGGCACCCTCCATTAGCAAATTCTGGAGACATTTTTAATTGCGGCAACTGGGGGTGGGAGGAAGTGGGTGGAGCCCACTGGACAGGACTGCCCCTACCCCAAAGAATAATTCGGCCTCAAATGTCAGTAGGCCCACATTGGGAAATCCTGTTAGACAAATCTCATCTCTTTTGAGTCTTTGGGGGGGGGGGGGGGGGCGTGTCTCTGGATTCTTTCCCAGTGACTTCTTTGTGAATTCCTGGGCATGTGGCACACTTTTAATTGCTATCACTTTATCAAGAGACTTGGTGTCTGGGAGGCCTCCTCGTCTTATATATGAGGAAAGGGAAGCTCAAAGAAGTTTCCTGAGTTTGGTCAAAATGGTAGAACCCAGGGGCGCCTGGGTGGATCTGTCGGTTAAGCGTCAGACTCTTCATTTCGGCTCAGGTCGTGATCTCAGGGAGGTGGGATCAGGCCCCATGGGGGGGCTCCCGCTCAAGGCAGAGTCCGCTTGAGATTCTCTCCCTCTGTCCCTCCCCCAGCTAACGCATGCTGTCTCTCTCTAAATAAATAAAATCTTTAAAAATAAATAAATAAATAAAATGGTAGAGCCCAGACCCACTCCAGAGGCCTGGCCCCTGATTACCATACTAGCCATTCTCCAAGAGTAGCCAGGGGCTCAGCCTGCAGGAATTGAGGCAGGTGGGACGGGCCGGGGTTACATCCCGCCCCCTGCAGGACGTGGTTCGCTGAGCCGCGATGATGGGCAGATGGCCAACCCAATGAGGCGGCGGATCCTCCCAAATCTCTAAATACACTAAATGCTTTGAAGAAGCAACTCCCAGAAAATAAAATGATCCCGTCAACACCTCACCAGGATGGCAGCTTGGCATTTACTAAAGCTCTTAACACGTGTGAAGTCTGAAATCGCATAGCATCACCAAGGAATGGCGGTTATTTATTGCATCTTCTAGCGAAAGAAACAGCCTCAGAGAAGCAATGGAGACCCGAGTTGCACAGCTACCCTGAGGAGGGCTGGTCGGTCACCCAGACCCCGGTCGACCTCCCGGGCTCTGTCCACGTCACCACACACAGTCGGCCCCTGGACAGCATCACGGCCTCTCCTTTCCCCAAGAGATTTTCCACCTGCTGGGCTCCTTTGAGCCACACACTGTATTTCCTGCCTTTGTTTACTCCGGTCTCCACCATGACCCCCTGAAGTAGGACTTGTCACTGTCCCCACTGTACAACTAAGGAAACTGAGCCTCAGGAAGACAAGTTCTTGGTCCGAGGTCCCACAGCTGGGAAGCAGAGAAATCCGGCCCTTGAGTTTGGCCGCTTCCCCCAGCCCATACTACACGTGAGTCCCCTGTGTCTGGGAGATAAAAGCGGATTACACAGACAGGGCCAAACTGCCAAAGCACTAGCATATTCTGAAGCACTGGAATGTTCCAAAGATCCTCTGGTTCCCTACTTGCTCTCCCATGACGGGAAGCTCCAGAAGCTCCATCTGCAACAAAGTCTTCCCTCAGCTTGAGGGGAAGATACACCCTCCTGCCCGCCGCCCCCTCACCCCTGGCAGCCTTCTGGAGATGGGTGGCTGGCATCAGCATGGGGCCGCTGCAACATTCAAACACCCCGATCTCTACCTAGGCTGGATGGCAGCTCCCCAGTACTCAGCCACGCGCCTGGATGTCCTGGGGCCGCAGCTCTCGCTCACCCTCAGCCAAGAAGACAAGGAGGGCGCGGTGCAGCAGATGCACCCCCAAGCGGCGGCGCCGGGTGGCTGACCAGCCCGCCACGACTCCATAGCAGTGTCCTTGTTTCTGGTTGGTCAGCGTCTGGATCCCTGGAGAGATGAGGGGTCAGGCATCCTTGGAAACCCTTGGCAGATGTGACAGGGAACCCACTGCATATTGCTCTTAAGCAGGGACAAACCAATAGAGCAAAATATATATGCTTGCAGGTACATAGTTGGTGCTCAATAATTGCTCATTGCATGAATGAATGAACAACTCTGAGAGGAAAGGGGTGAGGTAATCAGTAGATCAAGGGTCCTTCATGTGACCCCACCCCCACCCCGCAAGCCAGGCACCTACCTAGAGCATCCACAAGACACGCCTCTCGAGTATAAGCCTCCACAGCAACCACGTGTTGGAAGCAATGCAGGGAGACCACGCCACGACCACTGGCCCAAATGTCCAAGATCTGGTGCACTTTGGGGCAGGCCTAGGGGACCAGGGTGGGGTCAGGGGTCTGCCCTCCAATCCCCTCCTCCCTTCACCTCCCCAGGCCAAGTTGCCCCTGCCATGACCCTGATCCTTAGCCCCACCTGCTTTCCTGGCTGCCGACGGAGCCTGAGGGCCTCCCAGAGGTGGACATCTGGCCGGGTCCGTGTCCCTTTCCCCACATAGAAGATGGCACGGACAAAGGTCCGAAGGCGTTCAGCGGGGGTCAGTGAGAAGGCTCGAGCTGGCAGGTCCTGAGTCTCCCTGGATGAGGGGAGTAGCTCAGAGAGGAAGAAGTGATGACAGTTGCCCCGGAGACAGTTTCTAAGTTCACAGAGCAACCCGAATCCATGTCCAGTGAGCCCCATTTTCTAAGGCAGAGAGTGGTAGATGCTCCCTAGGGACACTCAGCAGCTTGAACTTGGTCTAACCAACCTTTTAAAGAAGCTGATGCCCAGACACGGCCAGTCCCCCTTATAAAGATACAAAGCAAATAAGAACCAATCCCAGGATTTTCCAGCTCCCACCTCTGAGTCATCCCTGCCCCAAGTACCTGGGGTCCAACAGTAGATACGTGAAACTGGATTTCACGACCCCCTCCCGCCACCTTCTCTTGGGATCTGGCCGCTCAAACTGCTGGGCAAGCACATCCTCATCTGCCTGGGCATCTGGGATACAGCCTGTCCGCAGGGCTTCGGCGAGCTCTGGGCTGTGCCCTGAAAAGTCTGAGTCCCGGGTGGGGGGGGGTGGGGGAGGACTGAGTCAAGGCAGACAGAAGAAGGGGCTGTTCCCAGAGACAAAGAATAAAATAGGCAGGACTGAGAGACAGGGGTCTCCAGGAATTCCTGGAGGCTCTTTGGACTCTGGATGCCCCTTACAGACTAACCAAGAGCAGCATGGGCTTCTTCCAGCCGTCGGAGGTGGTATGGCCGAGGGAAGGGTGTGATGGGGCCAGGACTCTCGCCAAGCACTCGGAGCCCTCGCAGCAAATCCAGGTCAGACATGGCAGGGACCGGAGGGCACCAGCAAGAGGGGAGAGGGTCCCTGCCACCTGTGGAGCTCTCCTCGTCCTCCGTCAGCCAGAGGGCAGCCACATCACTGTCGAGGGACACCTCTTCGTCTTTTAGGAAGGGGGAGTCGGGGAGTCCAGGCGGTGGTTCCCGAGGGGGACTTGGGGCAGGGCTCCCACCAGGGAGGGATATGGCGGAGGGGGAGGCATCTGGAGAGGTCAGGGTCAGGGCCTGCAGACGGGTATTTAGTTCTGCCTCCCTGTCTGCCCTGGCAGCTCGATGCACCAGCTGTGGGGTACCTGGAGACCTTGGCATCCTCTGGGAAGGTCGAATACCAGGCAGGAGTCCCTGCTTGGTCTGGGGTAATGGCCCAGCCCAGGAGGAGGTATGCGGAGCTGGATCTTCAGTTCCAGAAGCTTCAATCGCAGTGACAAAGGAGGTATCTGAGCAGTAGTCCCGTAGTCCTGGGGGGGACTCCAAGCTGCTATCCTTGTCAGCAATCTCAGGGTGGGCAAGGAGGCTGGGGGTTCTGGGGCTGACCTCCAGGCCCATGTCCCTGCCATCACGTCTGCCCAGTGCTGTGGAGCCCGGGGTCACATTGGGAGGTCCAGAGGGGCTGGTGTCCAGCCCCTTTCTCCAGGGGTCTGGGCCTGAAGTAAGGGATGAGAATGAGGGTGAGAGAGGAGGGGTGAAGAGAGCCAGAGACAGAGATGGGGGTTGGATCAGACAGAAAGAGGCAGGGAAAGAGTCGGAGGTAGACAGCTTTCCGCAGACGGTACCCGTGAGCCAGAGCCAGAGAGGGGACATCAGAGGGAGGTGCAAATCTAGATCAGAGGTTAGGCCCCCGAGGACGCGTAGGCCCCACTCACCGTCAGCCTCGGGCTCAGGCTCAGGCTCCTGGCTCTCTGCCCGGGTCCGGGTCGAAGTCTTGGTCCGAGTCTGGAACTCCCGAAGGACGCGCACGCAATCCTGGGCCCCCTGGTGCTCTGCCAGGTCCAGCGGCCGCAGTCCGTCCTGCGGCGGCGCGGTCAGCAGGGGGCACCCGAGGCCCTCTTCCCTCCCTTCTTCCCTCCGGGTTCGCCCTGCCACAGGCGCTGGGCTCCCACCTGGTCTCGCAGTGAAGGGTCCGCTCTGTGGCCCAGCAGTAGCTCCAGGCCACGGCGACAGCCCCAGGCGGCAGCCACGTGCAGCGGCGTCAGGGCCTCGACCGAACTGGGGCAGGAGCGGAGGAGGGCTCAGCGGAAGAGGGAATGTGATCTCTGCCTCCGCACCCCGGAACCTTGGCTCTCGGGCTCCTATCGCCACCCCCCAGCCTGAGACACCATCCTTGGATCCTAGACACTGCGCCCTCGGCCAGACTCAAGCCTCTTCTCTCTGAGCCTAGAGCTCCCACCGCCAGATCCGAACCTTTGATCCCTACTTGGCCCCGGCGCAACCTCACATCCACCCTCTGTCTGGGACCCTAGCTCCCGCCCTTGGATCCTCAGGAACCGCCCCGAGATCCCCAAGCCCCACCTTTGGGCAACGAGTCTCCGCCCCTGGGCTGTGGGATGCTCTCTCCCAGACTCCCAGTTCTCGCCCTCGGACTCGGGAGACCCCTCCCTTGCGCGGCTCACCCCGCCCCGGGGCCAGGCCTCGCCTCACCGAGAGTTGGCGTCCCCGCCTCGGCGCAGCAGGGCTTCGAGACAGCGCAGACCGCGCGAGTGCCGGGCTCCCGCCGCCAGGTGCATGGCTGCCGCGCCATCCGCCAGCAGCAGGTTGGGGTCGGCGCCGCGGCTCAGCAGTTCCTCCACCGCCCTACGGACTGGAAGGTCAGAGTGGACCACGACCCCCGCCCCGCCCCCGGCCCGGTCCCCGCCCTCACCGCGGCTCCTCTTCCCGCAACGCTGCCCGAAGCCGCTGCGCCAGGCCGGCCGCCGCGTCCATGCCGGGGCTGCAGCGGAGCCCCGCTGCCCTGCCCGCCGAGTTCCAACTTCCCGCCGCGCCCGTGTGCGCACGCGCCGCCCCACCCCCCGCCTCGGGCCCCCGCGGGCCGGCGCCGCGCAGTGTCCCCCACCAAGCTGACCTGCGCCGCACCGGCGTCCACAGCGGGGCGCGGGAGCTCTAGCGCCTGCGGGGGCCCGGGACACCGAGTGGCGCCCAGGCAGGGCCTGGGGCCGCCGATAAGGACCTGGGCGGGCGGAGGCCGCCGAGAGTGCCATTATCTCGTCTCCAAAGCGGGGAAAAGCGAACTCACCCTAATAGAGGGGTGGAGCTGCTTCCCGGGACCGGAGGTGCCCACAGGGCATTACGGCTCCCGGAACGTTTTGCCCAGGGGGCCTCCGTGGACGCGCACAGCCTCGATACTGTCTAAGGCTCCCGCCGCCCTCTCTGGGTCGCCCGTTTTCACTCCCGGGGAAACGGGAGAGGCCACTACTTTGGAGATCTGGGCTGCTGAGGGCCTTAATTTTCCCATCTGCAAAATGGGAGAATAATCTCTTCCAGGCTGGTGTGAAATGGCACGAGTTCCCCACAAGGGCCTGGCACATAAGTGTCCAATAAATGCTCAGAGGTAGGAAAAGCTGTTGCTCGATAAAGCTGTTTCCGGGGTGCCCGGGTGGCTCAGTTGGTTGGGTGTCTGCCTTCAGCTCAGGTCATCATCTCAGGGTCCTGGGATGGAGTCCTGCATGGGGCTCCCTGCTCAGCAGGAAGTCTGCTTCTCCCTCTGCACCGCCCCCCATGCGCTCACACATGCTCTCTCTCAAAAATAAATACAAAATCTTTTTTTAAAAAAAGAAGCTGTTTCTGTTTTGTAAGAATCTAGTTGCTAAACTTTTTTTCACAATCACTCATTATCCAGGAAGGTAGTTGAATGGTAGACCTGCTGTATCTGTCTTTGGTCTCCCTTCCTCTGGGGAAAACTCCTACTATTTCCTGAAAGAGCTGTAATCCCTTCCCAGAGGAAAGGCTTGATCAAGTCCTGGCGGATCAGAGCATCCCACAATTCTGGCCCACGACTGGCCCAATGTAAGGTTACCTGACCCAGGGAAGGCCAGTCCTATGGAGTTCGGGGGGCCCTCTCTTCACCTGGGCTGTAGTTTGAGCAGTGATCACAGCCCTTTCCGTGGTTTGGGAGAAAAGCAGGGCACACTGAACACCGATCATGCAAGATATTTCAGCCCACCTCAATGGCATTATTGTCTAAACAACTGAATACAGCCGAGCCTGAAGCTGCACTTTGCTTTTTACCCACAAGAACCAAATCATTCCCCTTTCCGTTCAGCCGGTAGGTTTTCTGTCCCTTGCAACCAAAAAGATCCCAATTAACACAAGGTAACTGTTGTGGACCTGGGTTAGGGATTCACAGATTTTTATTCTGATGACAAAAAGCGCACAGGGAAGAACAAAACTACAGTCGACAAACCAGTAGCGTGAGGCGGGCTGGAAAACATAGGGAATGGGTGCCCAGAGTCCCCAGGAGCCTCCTGGAACCCTGCCACAGAGCCCAGTTTAAGAACCATTCTCTAAGCCAAGGGCTTCACTGCACGAGAAGGCGGAGACGCACAGGGATGTTTCAGACAGTGGCTTCGACCTCAGTGGCTTCATCCTCCTCCTCCAGCAGGCTGTAGGAAGCATGACTCTGGCAGGGCCGCTGCAGTGGGTGAGCCAGCAGCTTGGCCATACAGTTGTGCAGCTCAAGGGCTGGCCCAGCCAGCGCCACCTCATACTTGTAGCTGGTACCCTTGGTATCCAGGCTGCCCATGAAGGCAAACATGTCCTGTGGGGCCGGGGAGGGGCCGTTCAGGTAGAGGTTCCCCGATGGACCCTCTCTGCCCCTGGAGGGCTTCCCAGAGGAGGGGGTATCAGGGATGGGGTCTGAAGGATGAAGAGGAGTTTGCCAGAAAGGAAACATTCCCACGTTCAGCAAATATTCCCCCACCACCCACCCAGTGGTAGGGACCCCAAGAAATCTCAGTCCTGGAGCCCCTAGTTTGGAGAGACACAGTTAGATGCAGACTACCCCCAGGCCCCACGCTAATCATCCCTGAGGAGCAGAGCCTTTAGGTTTGGGTGCTGAAGTATGAGTAGGAGCTGGTCTCAACTCCCCCTGTTCACAGTAGGGTAAACTGAGACTCAGAGGTAAGTGGCCTAATCAAGGTTCTATAGCTCAGTTTGGGCTGGGATATGAAAGACCAGTAGAGTCTGGGGAGGCAGGAGGGAAGGGCGTGCCAAGCAGAGGGCACCGTGAGAGCAAAGGCAGAGAGACGCCCTCGCTAGCTCACAGCAGACATGCAGGAATGGCTGCTGAATGGCCTAAGGACCATGATCCAGCAGGGCCAGGGCTCCAGGGCTGCAAAACGGAGGTGGGTTCCGAGATACCCCACCTACACCCATCTGCCACTCACACACACAGCAGCCTCTCACCTTCCAGCTCATTTCCTCTTCCTTCTCGTCAGCGCCATTGTGGATGTAAACAACATCAAAGAAGAAGTATGGGCACTGGAACATTTTCTGCAGGGGAAGAACACCGGCCTTCGGGGCTTGAGTCACCCCATGCCCCCATGACCGTAATTCCCCAGCTTTTGCCTTGGACTCTGGGAAACTGCCCATAGACACCCCAGCTCTTGTGATCAGGAAGTCCCTCCTGGTGTCTAACCACCATTCTGCTGGCTGCAGATATCCCTCCCTTTCCCCAGCCTCACTCACCTTCATGGGCTCCGTCAGGGAGAACTGGGGCTGGCAGGGCGGACGGCTATAGACAAGGATGGTGCGGACCACGTACGGGGGTGGAATTGTCTGCACATTCTCGGTGACTGGCAGCTCAGTCTTCTGCTGGCTGCGTAGTGAATGGTGGGGGACAGGTCAGAGCACACTCTGGGGATCCACCCCTCTTGTCACCCTCGGAGAGCCCGGGACTTCACTGGACATGCAAAGCCCACAAGACTGCTGCCTCTGAGCCTCCCCATATGCTGTTCCCTCTGCCCAGAGTGCCGCCCCAGCCTCACCCTTCTGCCTGACCTCTCCTGCTGGATCGGGGAGACTCCGCTGACCCCAAAGCTGGAGCCCGCTCTGACCACCCTCACCATCCTGAACATCCCCCATCATTGACCTGAGTTGGACCTGTCCCACCAGGCCAGAAGAGTCTAAGGTAGGAACCTGATCTTATTAGCTAAGTTAACACCCACATCCCTAACTGGCCACGGCTGGATCTCACATTGGCAGAGAGCACTGGGCAGACAGAGGGCTAATGTCTTTAGTACGTGAAAAGCAAATCTGATCATCAATAAGAAAAAAGCCGACATCTCCCTATAAACATAGGCAAAGGGGACAAACGGACAAATCACTGTAGGAAGACTGAATGGCTTACAAATGAATGAAAAAAAGGCTCAAAGAAAAGCTCAGTGACAGTAACAGGTAGCCTCTACCAGACAGGCAGAACCTTCGGCAGCATGAACAACTCTGGTGTCGGGAGGTACACAGGGTTGGTTTCCTAGAAAAGTGCTCTGGCAGACTCTAGCAGATTAAAAACACACACCCCTTTGGCCCAGCATGTCTTCCACTGGGAATTTATAGGAGGGGTTCACTTGCAAAATTTGCCAGGACCGCTGTACCAGGTTAATCACAATAGAAAAGGCAAAACAGAATCCATGTCCACTATTAGGAGGCAGGTAAAAACAGGCGTTGGACTACCAGTGCCCATAAGCTAAGAATGGTTTTTACATTTTCAAAATGGTTGGAGAAAGAAAATCAAAAGAACATTTTGTGACACGTGGAAAGGATATTAAATTCAAATTTCCATGTTCATCGAGAACGTTTTACTGGGACCCAGCCCCGTGCACAGGTGTGGTTTGTGACTGCCTTCAGGTTACTTGGGCAGGATCCAGTCATCAAGACAGAGACCACATGGCCTACAAAGCTGAACATATTTACTGCCCGGCCCTTTACAGAGAAAGCGTGCTGCCCCATGGGTTAAAACAATGGAGTGGGGGACCTCAGGGCGGTCACAGGACTGACGTGGAAGGCGAGACGCGGGGAAGGCGGTACTTACATGAGGCTGAAGAGACCTTCTAGATCTGGCAGAGATGCTAAGGAGAACGCTGGGGGCAGAGCACGGGCAGGAAGCGGCGGGTGGCTTCCCGCATCCTGATGCCAGGAGAGCCCAGGCCCCCTCATACCCGGTGCCAGGTACCACCGCGCAGGAGACGTGCTATGCGACCCTGGCCCAGTCGCTTGCCCTGTCTGAGCCTGTTTTCCCTCAGCATAGATCACAAAACAGGGGGCCAGCACTGGATGCCCTGAAAACCCTTGGTGGCTCAAAACTCCCCTTTCCCTCACGCCCAGGGCAGCCGTCCTCACAAGGCAAGAGCCATGGGTGTCCCCGTCCCCTACCCCCCGACACTCAGCATTGTTTTGTAACTCATGAGGATCATTTTCTGTCTAAGTTTTGGGCTGCACATGAGCCTTTTGTGTTCAAGTTAGCATGAAATGTGCTGTGCCCAGGCCGCAGGGGCTGTAGTAATGACTGTGACTCCTCAGTCCCATATCGCCATCTATTGAGCACCAACTGTATGCTTGGCCCTGCAAAGAATGCTCCCCATGTGTGTGGTTTTGACATCTAGAGTTCAAATCAGCTGGTTTTGTTTCTGTACCATGTCCAGCCCCCTCCACAGGGCAGCCCTGCCTGTAAGGATACTGAAGGTGGAGCAGGAAGCCGTCTCCAGGTCATAGAGGCAGCTGCAGAGTTCACGGGGATCAGAGGTCAGGCCGGACAGCTGCAGGAAAGCACAGGCCTCAGCAAGGTGCCTCCCCGCCCCGAGGGAACCCCTCGGCAGCCCGGCCCTGCCCCAGCCTCACCCAGGCGATGTCGTCGTTCACCACCACCAGCGCGAACTCGTGGCTCTTGTCGATCTTGTGTTTTGTCCGCACAAACATCTCAATCATCTTCTGGGAGACGTTGAGGGCGTTGGTTTTGGAGCTGGGGAGGGACAGAGGGTGAGGGGGGGCGGTTAAGGCGGGGCCTCCCGGCCTAGAGGGTGTCTCCTCACCGGCCAATCCTAGGGAGCCCTCCGCCAGCCTCAGGATTAGGCACTGGAGGCCCAGGTCAGGTCATGCAGCAGGGAGATGGAAGAGCCCAGCCACCCCTCTGTAGCTTTTGCCCTCTCCGAATGGGGTTCCTCTGACCAGCCTGGGTCTCACAACTGATCCCCATGAGGTCTCCCCCAGGCCTTCACTCAGCCACAGATGGCTAAGGATGGCAGCCAGGGGAGGCGGGCTTGTCCTCAGCATCCCCCAGAGCCCCTTGGACCCTATCCAGTCCCGGTCACCAACCCCACAGGGACCCAGGTGCTCAGGGCAGGGGCTTCAGGGACAGCTAGGCCTGGGTCTGAGTCCTGACTCTGCCTATTTGCTGTGAGGCCTTGGGCAAGTCACTTCACCTGGCAGAGTTTCTGAGTCATTGCTGTGCCAGGGCTTGGAACAGAGCCCTGGTGGGTCACAGCTTTTTTAGGGTCGGTTGCCATTGCCACTCTGACAGTGCCAGGCCCCAGGCCAGGCCAAGCTGCTGTGAGTCTCAGAGAGAAAGAGCCCTGAGTTTTTTGAGCTGCCTCCCCAACCCCCCCCAGCCCGCCCCAAGCCGTGGCTGCATATTCAAGCCCCCAAATGTTCCTCTCACCCATTGAATGACTCCAGCTTTGACAGGGACATTTCCTCTGACAGGTCCAGGCAGATGATCTGCAAGAAGGTTCGAGGGAGGTGAGGGCCCTGCGCCTGGCAGCGCCTAGCCAAGTGAACACTAACAGTGGCCCCCACTGCACTCTAGGGGTCCTCTCCAAGCAGCTCTGTCTGAAAGGGTGGTATCAGGACCCCCAATTCCCAGCCAAGCAACCTACTTTGGAAGACAGCAGTTCAGGGAAAAGAGCACTAGATTGGGAGTCCAAGTTTATAAGTGAATAAAGGAGCCAGAGAAAGTCTGACACAGAAACAGGAAAACAAAGGTAGAGTGGGTTGAATTGTGCCCCGGCCCCCACAGATATGCCCACTGGGAACCTCAGAATGTGACTTTTTTGGGAATTAGGGTATTTGCTGATGGAATTAAGAGAAAGATCTTGAGATAAGATAAAGATCCTGATCAGGGACACCTGGGTGGCTCAGTTGACAGGAGCATCCGACTCTTGATTTCAGCTCAGGTCATGATCTCAGGGTATGAGATCCAGCCCTCCATCGGGCTCCCCACTCAGCAGGGAGTCTGCTTGATACTCTCTCCCTTTCCCTCTACCCCTCCCCAACCCCACCCCCCACTCTCTTTCTCTCTCAAATAAATAAATAAACCTTTAAAAAAAAATCCTGATTCAATGACTTATTGTGTCTTTATAAGAGAAAGAAGATTCAGAGACACAGATGGGAAGGCCATGTGAAGACAGAGGCAAAGACTGGGGTGATGCGGCCACAAGCCAAGGAACACATGGAGCGCCCAAGGGCTGGAAGAGGCAAGGAAGGATCTTTCCCTACAGCCTCCAGCAGGAGCACAGCCCTGCCCATTCCTTGATTTCAGACTTCTAGCCTCCAGAAGAGTGTGAGAATGAATTTCTGCTTTCTAAGCCACTGCTTTGTGGTAATTTGTTGTGGTAGCCCTAGAAAACTCCTACGAAGTGACTGCAGAGTGAATCCCAAAAAGCAAGAACATTAAACCTAAGGTTCCCTAGCACCTCACAGCCACAGGCCAAGCCCCTCACTTACCACCTTCTCTGGACAGTTGACCCTCGGTGTCCGCACCTGGACTTCAGGAGCTGTTGGGGGCACCTGCCAGGGCTTGGGGCCAGCTCCTGGAGGATTGGGGGTCCCATCGTCAGCACTGGCCGCCTCGCCCTCACCCTCGCTGCGGCTGCCCACACTGGCCTGGGCCCCCAGTGCCCGGTCCTCAGCCCCCTCAGGGTTAGAGCGTGTTCGGGGCCTGGGTTCAGCTGACTGCTCCTCTTCCTCTTCCTCTTCCTCCTCCTCCTCCTCCTCTTCCTCAGTGGGGCTGCTGGGCTCTGCCACCTCCATGGCCCCTAAGTGGCTGGATGGAGCAGGATTGGGGGAAGCCAGGATCCTCCCCTTAAAGGTTTTAAAAATATTTGGTTACTGGACAGGACAGAGCATGAACTGCTTAATGACTGTAAAAATCACTTCTTTCCGGGCCTCAGTTTCCTTATCTGCAAAACGGGTGCCTGGAATCCCATTTTTTCTGTAGTGCTAACCCTGCCCCTTTCCTTGGCCAATGAACAAATCCGGCCACCAGGAATGGCTCAGAGATGGGGCATGACCCAATACAGGTCAGTGAGGGGCAGCTCTGGGGCTTCCAATAGTGCCATTAGGGAAGAGGGACTCGTTAGAGTTGCAGAACTGGGAGGATAGAAGTCGAGAGCCGTCAGGAGCCTCTTTTGCCTCCAAGAGGGGAAAGAGAACCTCCTTGAAGTGATGCTCACCCAGAAAACAGCAGCTAGACCTCTGTGCACCTGGATCCAGCTATGCCTGAAACCAAAAAAAGGAAACCTCATTTAAAATGGAATCGGGAGGCCAAAAGGGGAGCTCTCACCCCCTAGCACAATGGCAGACCCCAAATTCCCAACAGAAAGAAGACTATACTAAGCCAGCAAGAAAATGAAAGATTTTCTCCTTGCCTGGCAATAGCCTGGCCGATGACAGACTGTCACAACTCAGCCAGTGAAAAGCCATTAAGCTTCAATTCCCAATTTACTCCAATAGACTTTAGGTTTATAACAGCCCGTCCCAACTTCCCTTCCTCTATAAAAGAGCACTCCTCTCCTTTGTTCTGGACTTGCCTATGGTTTTGCTATATAGCTGGTGTGTCCTGCATTGTAATACTCTGCTATTCCCAAACAAACCTCTTTTTTGCTGGTAAAAATAACTGACAATTTTAGTTTTAAGGCTAACAGAATAATTAGCTGGGGTGCCTGGCTCGCTCAGTCGTAGCGCATGCAACTCTTGATCTTGGGGTTGTGAGTTCGAACCCCACCTTGGGTGTAGGGATTGCTTTAAAATAAGAAAAAAATAAGACTAATTAGCTCTGGGATTCTCCCCAGCGGGCACCGGGCTGCCTAGAAGGTGTCTGCGCAAAGGAGGGGCACGAATCTAGGTGTTAAAGGTTCCTTTGAAGAAAGATAGGACGCCAACAGTTTGCCTATCTGGGCTGGGGTGTGGGCTGCGGGGGATGGTCTCTGAGCGGCTTGTAACCCCCTGAATCTCTAAGGAAAACAATGCTTTAGCTTCGGCAAGAGGGATGAAGGCTAGACTGCAGGAGAAACCAGAGTGGAAAGCGGAAGCCTCAGGGAAGGCTAAGGGCTGGACCTCTAGGGACGGGACCGCAACCACCCAACCTCTTCTCACCGGAGCCTGAGCCTCCCTCCAACTCAGCCGAGAACTGACTAGGAAGCCGCCATCTTTCGCAGCCCGGAAGTAGTGCGGCGCGGCCGGGACGCCTCCTGGGAAATGTAGTTCAGCAAGCCGTAAGACAAGCGGACCGCTGAACAGGGGACGGCTGGAGAGCCTTGAAAGCTGATAGGCTGGGACTGTGCTAGGGAGTGGGGTTTGGAATGTGATTGGTTAATGCAAGAAGAGCCGGAGCTTTGATGTTTCTGGCCGAATCAGGCTACACTGGTCAGTACTTCAACCCTGATAGGCTGGGACGAGGCCTAGTGGAGTGGACCTTTCTATGGAATAGGCTTAAAGGGATGGAGAAGGCCTCACTTGCGATGTGGTAAACTGAATGCGAGTGACTTGGGCGGGATTTAGAAGAGGTAGGGCTGATTGGTGATTGGTGGAGCTGACATGGCCCTCAGCGGGGGGCGGGTTTTTGCGGCCTGAGGTGGGCGTGGCCCACACCCCAGGCCCTGCCCAGTTACTTAATTTTGCTTCTTATTTTACACATATTTGCAAAAACCAAAAAGACTAAGCCAAAACTATTTCAGACCACGTTTTCTTTTTCATGCGCACTTCTCCTCTTACCCCCTAACCATTTAAAACCCAGTCTGAGCCTCAGTTTCTTTATGTGTAAGAGGTTCAATTAAACAAGCTCTCATGAGCCAGGCTCTGGTCATTGACAGCCAGGAGGAGCTATGCAAGCTGAGTCTTCAAGGATGGAGAACTTGCCAGAAAAACAAGAGAATGAAAGGCATTCCAGAAAGAAGGAACCGCCTTGGCAAAGGTCTGGAGGCTTGCAAGAACCTTGGAGTGGTGGAGCCTTTAACAGGTTAATATGGCTGGAGCAAAGGCTAAGAGTGCAGATTTCAATGTGCCTGGGTGCCCCCAAGTCAGAGAATTGCAACTTCTTTCCTTACCGCCTTTGGGGACACAGAAGCAGGAAGATTCAACCTCCTAGTGTCTGTCAATGGAATGAGGAAGATTCAGGCTACTCCAGGCTCTGCACAGTTTAAACCAAGTGAAGAAACAAGGAAAGGGTGTTCCAGGCAAAGGTTACAGCATAACCCAAGGCCCTGGGTGTGAGAATTGTGAACCTTCAACTGTTCACGGAGGGGGTCATCGTGGCTAAAGCAAGGAGTATACATGGGCCCAGGCAGCAGGCATAATTTTTAAGGTCCTCGAATGCCGGGTAGAAGAGCTTGAAATGTTTCCCAAGGGCAATGGGGAGTCATGGAGGGTACATGAGCAGAGGAGGTGACCAATGCAGTCTCTCTCTCTGGGGCCTGGGTGGGGAAGGGAGTGAAGGGGTGGCTGTAGAGTCCAGGGAGAGAGCTGGGCTGGCATCCAGGTGGGAGGGGAGAGGCTTGGGCTGTTATTATGGATGGAGTTGAGGAGGCCCTTTAGAGATGGATGCAGGGAAAATGGGCAGGATGTAGAGACAATCTGGGCTCTGAGGAATCCAGCATTTACACAGGAGAAACAGCAGCTGGTAGAGATGGGACGGTCAGAGAGGTAGGGAGCAAGAGCGGTGTGTTATAATTCAGTTCTTGGATGGATTTTAACAAATTGCTTGTTAAAATTCCCATGACACTGTAGAAAAATGCTATAATTACCCCTCCCCCCCATTTTACAGATAAGGAAACTGGGGCTCAGAGGTGGAAGAGACATGAGATCAGAGGCTGAGGTGAGGAGGGACTGACATCTCAGGAGCCGGACACGTGACCCCCACTGGGACTGAGGAAGCTGATGTCCTGGAGGAAGCTGATGTCCTTGAGGAAACAGCACAATAACAAGTCACATGACCAGGGGAGGGGGGCTTCCTGTTTCCTGGCCCCTCCCAAGCCAGCCTTGGCTAGCCCAGGCCTAAGCAGGCAGTGGCCAGAGCTACCCCAAGAGTGTCCAGGGATTTTGGCTGCTGACCAAGGTACTCCTAGAGGCACAGAGGAGTAGAAGTAGAGCAGGCTGGGGGGCCTCAACCCCAAGATCGGGGCCTCTGACTCAAGAGGACCCTGGGGAGGAGAGGTGACTCTTGAAGTCCTCGAGCCAGGCCCAGATTGGGGACAGAGGGGAGCACAGAGGTAGTGAAAGATAAAGGAGGCAGAGGAGAAGGGGAGGTCAGAACAATTTTCAGAGATAGTGAGCTGCCTGTCAAGAGGGGCATTCAAATGCACCAAATCAACACTGATAACTCAAGATCCCTTCCAGAGGGAGAAGATCAATGCCCATTCCACAGAAGAAGATATTAAGGCTGTCATTTGTCCAGGATAACAAAGACAACAAAGACAAGAGCTGAGATCAGGCTGTGGTTTTAGGAGGAAGATTCAGAAGACTGACCTCTGGACAGCAATGAGTGCCCGGGCCACACGCCCCCGAAGCCGGCGAGGGAGGCACGCTCTGCCTGTAAGTGCCCCCCTCCCTGCCACACCCAGCTCTTTGGGGCCACTCACAGCCCTGCCTGGCTCAGAGCTTGGCCCTGTGGGTCATCTTCAGGGGGAGCTGGATCCTGTGGCAGAGAGTTCAGAGGAGGCTGAGGCAGCCAGCGGGAGTTCTGAGCTGGGCCCTGCGCCATCTCAGGAGAGCTGCAAGCTGAAGCTGCTGGGGCCAGAGGCAGAAGCCAGTGGGCAGGGCCTGGGGAACAGGTAAGGCCCACTTGGTCTGTGCTCCCCACTCCAGCCCTGGTGTATCTTTCCTACCCACAGATCTACCTGTGTTCCTCCCTTGCTCACACACATGCCATAGCTTCCCATTGCCCTCCTCAGCCCAACTTTCTTTTTTTCTTTTTTTTTTTTAAGATTTTTTTTATTTACTGAGAGAGAGAGAATGATAGAGAGAGAGCATGAGAGGGTGGAGGGTCAGAGGGAGAAGCAGACTCCCTGCTGAGCAGGGAGCCCCATGCGGGACTCGATCCTGGGACTCCAGGATCATGACCTGAGCTGAAGGCAGTTGCTTAACCAACTGAGCCACCCAGGCGCCCCTCAGCCCAACTTTCAAGGCCCCGGATAATGCAGCCCCGGTGAGCCAGACACCCCGGATGACCCCATTTCCAGAACCTTCCATCTCTCACCTCACCACAGGACCAACAAAGAGGCTGAAGGGGACACTAGCAGAGGACCGGCCCCATCTCCTGAGGGACCCTGCAAGCCTGCCGAGGAAGGCCAGCAGGCCACAGATGTAGCCCCGCCGGGTGGGGAGACTGTCCCCTCCAAGCCTGAAGCCTCTGACATGTTTCAGATTCTCCAGCGCGCTCTGAGCTCACTGGAGGCAGCTGCTGCTGCCTGGCGCCACCGGCCCCCAAGCTGTCCTGGGCCCTCAGAGGCCGAGGACAGGAGTGAGGTGGGACCCAGGCCCTGCTTGGAGCAGGAGGGGGCAGGGGTTTGCCAGAGGGAGGCAGCCCGCTTGGTGGAGAGGAATGACTGTCTGCGATTGGCCTTGGGCAGCCGCGAGGAGGAGCTGACTCGCATGCAGGCCTCGCTGCAGGCCATCCAGGCTGAGAAGGAGATGCTTCAGAGAGAGGTGAGTGGGGCAGCTCCGTCTCTGAGGTCTCTCTGTCTAAGGGGGAGGCGGGCCTGGCATAGGCAATGTTCAAGCATTTGTTCGTTAGAAAAACTTTTATGGAGCATTGACTGCCGAGCCCTGAACAGACAAAGGTCCGTTGCCTTCTTAGTTAAGGTGGTCAGAGATGCCCCCTGAGGAGGTGACACTTGAATGAAGAGGTAAGGGAGGAGCCATGCAAGGATCTGGGGGAAGAGCATGCCAGGCAGAGAAGGAACTCCCTCCCTGAGGTGGGATTCAGGGACCAGTGAGGGGGCCAGTGTGGGGGTGAAGGAGGGCCGGTTAGGTGATGCGGGCAGATTTATAGGGTCTTGTGGGCTGCTGGGAGTCGGCTTTTGCCCTGAGCCTGGTGGGATCCTGGAGGGTTTCCCCGGAGCAGAAAGGGGCGGATCCTGATGCAGCGTTCACAGACGCCCTCTGGCGGCCGTTGGGGGAACAGCGTGTGGGTGTGCGGAATCCTGCAGATCAGGAGGCACTGGTCCAGACACCAGATGGTGGCAATTGTGGAGGTGGTACGAAGTGGGCCGATTCTGGGTGGTGTCGAAGGTGATGCTGGCAGGTTTGGGGGTGAAAGCCAGAGAAGGGTTGAGGACAAGTCCTGGTTTGGGGGCCTGCGGGACTGGAAGGGAGAAATGTGGAGGCCGCAGGAGGAGCAGGTTTGGTGGGAGGGAGACCAGAAGCTGTTTGGGCCGTCATGAGCTCACGATACCCACGGGCCACCCATGTGGGACCATCAGAGAGACAGTTCTGTGTCTGAGTCCAGAGCTCAGGGGAGGTGTCAGAATAGGAGAAACACATTTGGACCTCTTCACATGTGGACGGAATCTAAAGCCATGGGGCCGAAGGAGATGGTGGGGAACATGCCCTCCTCTTGAGCAGGACAAGGGGGAAAGATACGGGGTGCCAGAGCCCAGCCTGAGGGGTGAGGCCCACTTCCTGGCTGGGAAAGGAAATCCCCCCTCCACATTCCTCTCCCCACCCCCACCACCTCTGGCAACCACCACCGTGTTCTCTGTGAGTTCGATTTTTTGTTTATTTTTGTTTTAGATTCCAAATATAAGTGAGATCACTATGTATTTGTCTTTCTCGGACTTATTTCGCTTAGTATAATGCCCTCAAGGTCCATCCATGTTGTGGCAAATGGCAGGATTTCCTTCTTTTTTTTTTTTTTTTTAAAGATTTTATTTTTAAGTAGTATCTACATGGAATGTGGGACTCGAGCTCACAACCCTGAGATTAAGTGTCGCAGGCTCCACTGACTGAGCCAGCCAGGCACCCCTCCTTCTTTTTTTAAGGCCAAATAATATTCCTTTGTTTATACACCAGATCTTCTTTAGCCATTCATCCACTGGTGATCACTTAGGTTGCTTCTATGTCTTGACTATTTCAAGTATATGCCGCAATGAACAAAGGGGTTCGAGTTAGTTTCGAGTTAGTTTTTTCATTTCCTTTGCATAAATACCCAGAAGTGGAATAGCTGAATCCTGTGATAGTTCTATTCTTAATTTTTTGAGGGAGCACTATGTGGTTTTGTATAAATGGCTACACCAATTTACAATCCCG